ATCCATCACCCTGACTATCAGCACAGGTGCCCCACAGGGATGTGTGCTCCCCCCACTGCTATTTTCTCTCAACAGAAATGACTGCACCTCAGAGCACTCCTCTGTTAAACTCCTAAAGTTTTCAGATGAATAACATGTTTTGGTGATTCACCATCTATTTTGTTAGCAACCCTTTGTTTTGTCCCCTTTCTAACCTAATGTGTATCAGTCTGACTGTTTCAGAAGTCTTTTCTGTCTGACTTTAAGCACTCTATACATCTCAGCACGTATATCTTTCATGTCACATTTTCTCATCTGTAACACCAGATGGGGTGTATTTTTTCTTCTTCCCACACCTGTCGGTATCAAATCAAATCAAATTAAATTTATTTATATACAGTAGCACTTTAAAAACAACATCTAGATGACCAAAGTACTTTACATGGCAGAATAAAATCACAATAAATGACTAAAATAGAGTAAATAAGATCAGTGCAAATAAAAATAAAATGGCACAATAACACAGACACATACGTTCAATAAATTAAAAGGAATGCATCAGGCCCTACTGTGTATTAAAGCCAAGCCAAATAAATATGTTTTAAGCAGGTAGGTGATGATAATGTACTCATACATTGCTTTACCGCCTGCAAAACATAGCAAAAAGAAGAGGCAAGGTCTGTATTTCCACCAGACAAATATTTTTTCATCATGGCATGTACCATTGCCAAATATATCAGTTGTATGGATGTTTATTTGTGTGTCGGGGGTGTGCGGGTAACACATTATACAGCCTGTCCCGTGAACAGCTAAATTGGAAGGCTCTATAGATGTTGCCATTATTTACATTGAGACAAGTTGTTATCATTGTAGGCTTTGTTCACAGTTTACCATGTTTCTGTACTCTACACAAGCTCTCCAGATTGTTATTAGGCATTCATGTTGTGATTCAGAGTGATGTACCTCCTTCACTGTGCTCAAGATGCAACCAGTCAGTGCTGTATTTTATGAGAGGTTGTCATTTCCAGATTGGTAATTTCATATCTTCATGCTTTTTTTCAAGGCATAATATTTTTAGATGGTGACTCGTAGCCTGTAGAGGTCGATGCCCCCAAATGGGCACACAGGGTGTTCAACCCCACTTCTAGCCAAATTATTTATATAACAATACACTGGTCAACACACAGGATAGTATTCAATTAGAATCCCCTTCATTTGTCTTCTGTTACATTGTGTTTTGCATGATTTCTGTCTGACCTGATTGTTAACAGTGCATAGTGACCCCTGGTCTATATTTTCTGCACAATACAGTTAATTTATATTTACATATTCTACATTATACGTCCTAAAAGTATTTATGATTTCAGGTCTCATTTTATTTTTTTTACAAGTAATAATATGTCAATATTGTCCCAGGATGGTTGGTCTGACACCACATGCAACATGTTATTCACTATGCAACCACAAGTGAATAACCACTATGCAACAGTTTTGCAGTCATTGTAAATGATGCAATACACATGTTATACATGGATGCTAGTGATGCAGAGGCTTATCATTTTACTACGCACTCATTCAGCATAACTGATGCAATATACAGTGCATTAATCATAGAGCTACCACAAAGTACGTTGGTGACGCAGAGGGATATCATTATACTACATGTTATTCTCCAAACAGCTACCAGGGTTGTTTCGCCATGCATGAGTATTAATGTTAAAGGATGTGATATCACACTTTGTCGTGAGACCACCTAATTGTGAATGAAACCAAGCATGGCCTATGGAAATGTTTTTTTCAATTGTAAAAACACTGAGATGATGCTGAAAAAACTTAGAAGAAGGTATCTGGATGTAGTTTTAGGTAGAAGACGTTTCACCTCTCATCCAAGAGGCTTCATCAGTTCTGTCTGACTGGTTTCAGTCCTTCGACGGCCGGCAATGTCCTCTAATGACTTGAGTTGTTGCATGGATACACTGTGATAATAGCTTTCAGATTAATTACTTTATTAATGAAGTTATCTCATTTATATTGTAAATTAATTTATGTTGTAACCACGGAGGAGACAGCTTTCTTCCAGCTCTTTTCTTCACTTAAGTCACTGCTGCTGCCTGTGTTTCATGATGACAGAGGTATAAACATGAGTGTTGAACGTGGCAGAGCAGGTCTGAACTGACCATAGCTGTGACGATAGGAGGATGTGAGGGGGATGAGTTCCTACAGAACATCAATGAGCCATGGCTGCTTCAGTGGTCACATGACACAACCACATCTAAACAGTTATCCGTCAGCTATTTGCCATGCACACATACAGTAGCTTCCATGGATGACAGCTTATGGGCAAAGCTGAAAATTCACTTCTCTGCAGGTTTATGCTCATTTAGCATGCATTTTGATAAATTACTTGTATTAGGTTTTACCACACATACAGTAACGATTATAGGTGTTGTCAACTCGACCAATGTTTTACTCATCTCTCCTCTGCAGAGTCTCCGCTGCTGCCTGCTGTGTGTGTTGTGGAGCTCATTCAAACATGGACAGAAATGGCTGAGAGAAGCTGCTCCATAAACAACAAATCCCCATTTTCCAATCCACTGATCTCACTCACTGATCTCTTTGAGTATTGATAAAATGGTTCTGGTCCTTAAAAATTGAGAACACAAGGAACTCAGTCGTACCTCGCGCCCAGATTTCCATATTTGCTTATGTGATTTTTACTTGCATATGTGAATGAAATGCTTACACCATAGAGCCCTTTATAGTGATTAGAATCACCCAGAAAACCCTGATTGAAGCATCCCTGGATTTCATTAACATTCTATAAATCACATGGCTTTGAAGGGTTTATTTGTGCGTCTGACCCTCTTAGCCCTTACTGCACACAACCACGTTGAGTTTTTTCAGTCAGCAGCAAGACAGTGGAGATGGCAATTCCTTCCTCATGGACCAGTGCTCCTCTCCTTTTTAAAATCTTAAATATGAATGTTTGATGAGTGGAAAGCTGAAATCATCATTCATGGCCAATTTTTCACTGTAGTTTTGCCCAGGCTGCTGTGGTGTTGCGGCCAAGGTTGCTGATGTCATAGGCACAGGCACATACAGAAACACATGTCAAACTGAACCAAGTTTTACTGCAGATAACACTGTATTGCCTGACCAATGTAATTTAGTGCTGAATGACTTTGCTCAGGTTTGTGATTGTGTGTGTTTTAGGGTTCAGGAGTATACCTGTGGGAAGGAAACTGTGGGAGCACACTGTATTGCGGGGACCAGAAGTCATCTGTGCGGCCCGGTGGCTGGGCCACATGACTAATTTGTTGCTTTTTATGAAAATGACAGGGTATAAGTTTGGAGTGAGGATTGACTTTGGTTGAGGTTAGCTCAGGGTAAGGGTTAAGGTTAGGCAAGTAGCAGGTCTGGTGAGTGTAAGTCTCCTGGAAATGAATGTAAGTCTATGTGTGGACCCTGTAAGTGACGCCCGCAAGGATGTGTGTGTGTGTGTGTGTGTGTGTGTGTGTGTTAGAGAGAGCCACCGAGTTTGCAGTGTGCACTGCATGTTTTTGTTTTGCCTGCGCTTGGGGTCAAGCCAGCCATGCCAGTAGAACCACTCTGAGTCATTTGTTAAAAGAGCACACCACATAGTAAAATACCTCACCGCCAGTTAGCCCTCTGCAGCCCACTTATTTTTAGAGGCTGCTCAACCTGATTAACTGGGGGCAGGCCTGTATCCGGTCTCTCTTGCCTCTCTCTTTCGCTCATTGTTTGTTGTTCATGTAATCACAGGTGTAGTTTAGCCAATCAGAAGGTTATACACATTGTATGCAAAGATACTCAGATACCTGTTTGTATCTGTAGTACATTTTGTTTTTGCTATTTCATAGTCTCCAGAAAAGATGTACAGTATTATCAATCAATCAATATTTATTGCCAGGTATGTTAAAAATACAAGGAATTTGACTCTAGTTTAGTGGCCCCCAGAGTGCATCAAATAAAAACGGAATAAAAAATAGAATATCAGATTAAAAACAAGGAGACAAAAACAATTTATTGATAAATATGTGTAGATGTATACAATTTAAAAAAGAGCTACTGGGTGTATACACTGATTACATCTACAATTCATTGCACTGTAGAGTTTACTGTATCTTGTTATACATTAGAAACATGGGCCAGAGGAAAAACTGTCCTTGTGTCTGGTTGTTTTGGTGTACAGTGACCTGTAGCACCATCCAGAGTGGAGGAGATTAAACAGTTTGTGTCCAGGAGGAGAAGGGTCTGCAGAGATCGTCTCTGCCCTCCTCTTGACTCATACGATATACAGGTCCTCCATGGAGGGCAGGCTGGCACGATGATTCTTTCTACAGTCCTGACTGTCCACTGGAGTCTGTTCCTATTGAACTGGGTTGCCGAACCAAACCAGAAGTGCAGAGAACAGGATCAATGATTCTTCTGTAGAACTGTATCAGCAGGTGTAATCTTTAGTATCTTTTTTAAAATTTGTATATTTTTATGTGTTATATATTTTTTTGTCTTCTCATTCTTTACTTATAGTTCTGGTTTTATTCTGTTTTCATATTGTTGGGTACATAGGCACCTATTGGGCTGGAGTCCGATTCCTTGTATTCTTGATATCACTTTTAGGCTTTTAGCCCAATTTAGGCTGATATAAAATTCCTCACTTATTTTGTAATTGTAATGCCCATATATTTGGTCAGAACTTGGGCTGCCCCGTAACAGTCCACTTACTTTTTCTTAGTCAAATTGCTGCCCTTTTTTGTGTGTAAATATAACTTTGACATATTGTGATATTTTATTAATTCTGTTTCCCTTATGTCCCCCATCCATCTCTTATCTCTCCTGCTCCCATGTCCTTCCTTTCCTTCTCTTTTACTCCTCCTTGTTTCTCTATTTTCTGTGCTGTCTCCCCTTTGTTGGTCTTTTTTTTTTATTTTTTTTTAACACCATTCATTCCCCTCCCTCTTTATTTTCCTCTGTTTTCTCCTTCATCCCATCTGGAGTAGAGGTTGTGGTGGAGTTCGAGTATGATGCACTCCATGATGACGAGCTTACCCTGCGCCTGGGCGACATCATCAAGAATGTGAGATATATAGAGGAGGATGGTTGGATGGAGGGAGACCTCAACGGGAAAAGGGGCCTCTTCCCTGACAACTTTGTTAAGGTGAAACACTGGTTTAGCTCATGTTCATTTTCATGTTCACGCCACTCACTGGATCATATCATTGTAACATGCATTTCCTCTGTGGTTTTGAATGCTCTTTCCTTTTGTTGTACTATTAGATATAATTCTACTGAATCTCTGAGCGTTACCAGCCTGAGTGTGTTCATCACATGCTACATCAGATGTGGTCTGCTCACTGATTTCTTAGCTCCGGATGTGTCAACATCAGGAAGGACTGTATGCATAAATATTGCTTTTGGAATTGTGTGACATGAATGCAGAAAACGAAAAGGAGCTGACAGAAAAAAACGTGTTATGATGTGGGATATGTATTGTAGCTTTACTTGATTTTTTTTAATCATCTGATCCTTCTCTACTGCTCTGATAGAAAGCTAAGTTTGCATGAAATGACAACACTGAAAATGCCAATTGAAGTGGATCTGTGCTTTATTTAGTTGAAGCACCAGTTGGTACATCAGTTGAAGGTCTGTTTATTTTTACTGCATTTGTTAATCTTTCTGCATTTTGCAGCAAAAAACTAGACTGGAAAAGAGGTGGGGCCTATCCTTGACAGGTCAATTTAGAGTCTCCAGTTAACCTACACGTCTTGTCTGTTTGAAGGAAGCCAGAATACCTGCATTGTGAACTCTAACAAGTTTACTTTAAAAAAAAAAGGATGATTTGTCAATATCCTTTTGTTTGACACTGCTATGAAATCAAATTGGAAACTCATCTAATGCATTTTGCAGCTAATGGTTGGCTACAGTTTTGTTTTTTATTTATTTAACCTTTATTTTACCAGGGAATTCCCACTAAGATTAAAACCTCTCCCCCAAGGGAGCCCTCGCAAGATGACAGCTATGCAGCTGTAGACCAATAGGTACACAGGATCTGTGGTTCTGGTACAGCTGAGTTGTATTCAGCTCTTGTTAAGACTTGATAGAATGAATGGATGGTCTACTGTGACATCTGGTTTTCTATGCAGTTTATTTACATAGCTGATGCACTGTGGAATCAGTCACTACTGCTGTTGTCTTCACTTCTCTCTTGCCTTGTTTTTCACTTCTCCCTCATCGTTCCCTTTTTTCCACATCCTATAATCCTGTGTAGTAAGGTAGGTAATCTGCTAAGTAGCCTGGCCCAGTCACTGAGCTTGAGTAGTCGATCCTCTGAGCAGCCTGCTGACTGCTGAACTTTGCTCCTGACAACATTACAGTCCCCTGAGATGCACTTCTTCTTCCTGCTCCCTTTAAGTGTCCTTGTGTCTGATTATTCAGGGAACATGAAATATGCCTGAGGAGGAGATGATAAGGAATTTAACTGTGCTATGCAATGGTAAGTTAGGATTATGCGACATCTTTATGTTGTTATTCAAGTACCCTTAAAGTGACTAATCAATGGAAGTCTGTGTGTAGTTGTTTTATATGACTCCTCATACTTTGTGCCAAAGACACACTTGTCACTACTAAAAATTTAAATCAATCAATACTGTATTTTTCAGCAATGTCAAGATTTAAGAGTTGAAGAAAAAAGCTGATTGTTATACCAATAAATCAGTCTATCTCACAGAAGAGATAAATATTTACAATGTAGTTGGGTGGAGACAGCCTTTCTACACCAATCAGCCATAACATTATGACCACTGGCAGGTGAAGTGGATAACACTGCCTGTCTGTTTCAGCGGCACCTGTGTGCGGGGTATATTAGACAGCAAGTGTTCAGTCTTCAAAGTTGATGTGTTGGAAGCAGGAAAAACAGGCAAGTGTAAGGATCTGAGTGACTTTGACAAGGCCCAAACTGTGATGGTGAGATGACTGGGTCAGAGCATCTCCCACATTGCAGGTCTTGGTGGGTGTTCTTGGTCTGCAGTGGTTAGTAGCTACCAACAGTGTCTAAGGAAGGACAAATGGTGAACTGGTGACAGGGTCATGGATGCCCCGGCTCAGTGACGATGCTGCAGCATGACTGTAGATTAAACTTTTTGTTAAAATTTTTTTTTTAAATGGTTGAAATTGAGAAATACTGTACACTGATTTCAATGAATAGCAATATTCAGTGGCTATAGTGGTGTATCACATCTGGAGTGGGGAGGCTGTTGAATTTGTGCTGCCGCATTGACTCCTGTGTACACAGTATTAGGCAGGTGGTTATAATGTTGTGGCTGATTTACGGAACTTACTGCAACATATTTTGAGCTATAGTTACCTCTGACTTATTAGCCCGCATATACACTGATATTAAATAATATATACATAATACACAATTTTATATATTTTTAATAATACATAATGGTTCAATACATATCTTCAGATTGATATCTGCTGAAACACAATGAAGACACAAAGCTATTAGTTTCACTCTGGAGTGAAAAGCACAGCATTTCTCAAAAGTGAATCATGCTGTTTTGTCAGCCAAATTCAGTACATCAACCATAAGACTTGTCACATATGGTAAGATATGATATGTAAAATAAAAAAAAAAACTTGCGAAAGCCGCTTTGTTAGATGACTGTGCTAGAAGAAGAGATGACACCCATGTTTTATGCTCTCAGTACAATCTAATTAACACCCCGAATGTGTGAAAGCAAGTGGGTGTGTGTGTGTATGTATATGAGGCAATGTGTGGTCATGCTTTTTCACCTGACAGCAGAGACCCCTTCACACTCTTCAATAGTGTTGATGAACCACACACATATGCCTGAGAAGGGGGAAGTAACTCTTATGAGTTTGTCATCTACTTATGGTGCACTTGTCTGTGTTTTGTTTCTGTCAGGTTTCTGAAGTAGAACTGCACATCTGCTAACATTATTAATGCCTGTTGGCAGTTGTATTTTTCTTTTCCTTTTTTGGAAAGTGCCTTTTTTTTATTTCCAAATTTATTACAGTTCAGTTCTTCAGTTACTTATATAACCATCCCACAAATGGCAAACAATAACATTTTTTCTTGAGCATTTTCTCTTTTTCCATTATTTTTCCTTTCATCTCTGTGCCTGCACTTCCTCTCCAGTGGCACTGCAAAGTCAGCATGTTCACACACTCACACACATGCACTGCTCTGAACTCCCAGTGAGACATTTTTAGTTTTCAGGGCTGGAAGTGACTGGGTACCGGTCCAATGTAAGTGGTAAATGGTCTTATACTTGAAGGCACTTTTCAGCACACTCAAAGCGCTTTCACACTATTTGGCCATTCAGCCATTTGCACTCACAAACACTCACACACTGGGAGCAACTCAGGGGTTCAGTGTCTTGCTCAAGGACACTTCGACATGTTGACTGGACAAGCTGGGAATCGAACCGCTAGTTCTCCGGTTAGGAAATGACTCCCTCTATCTCTTTGATGGTGTGTTGAGATGTAATCATTTCCTTATAGAAAATGTTTCTTTTAAGGTCTAAAAGTGAGATATTTGGGTCTGTTTCTGGTTGTGGGTTCTGTTGACAACTATGGTATGGTCATGTTTTATCCTCAGTCAACAAGCAGAAGGCCGCCCACCAAGAGCCGGGGTCTGTCGGAGGTTTCTTCCGTTAAAGGGAGTTTTTCCTCCCCACTGTCGCCAAGTGCTGTTCAGGGGGATTTGTTGGGTTTTCCCTTTGTAATAATAGTGATAACAGTAAGGTCTAGACCTTACTTTGTAAAATGTCCTGAGATGACTTTTGTTGTGATTTGGAGCTACACAAATAAAATTTGATTTGATTTGAACAGTGACATGTCTGAGGATTGCAGGAGATGCTTAGGGTTGTAATTCAGTAATGTTGCCTGAAACAAATCTAAAATCATCTTAAGATTTACAAACCCTATTTCTAACCACTGTGCTACCTCTATTCTGTCTTTATTATTGGCAAAGAATGGTGTACAACACATTGAGCTACTTTGAGCACCTTCCCATTTGGCTGGTGCTGACAATAGCTTTCATGGTTAAAATAACAGATGCCACTGGTGGACATTATATCAGCTGCCAGTAGTTAAATTAATGGCTGGTTTGTGAGAGAAGAACCCTTGTTCACTGTACAGCTGTGACTACACCTAGTGTTTCTGTAGTTCCAACAAAGTAAAATGTCTTCTCTGTAGTTTAATCCCATAAGTGTCATTGTATTGTGGTGAGCAACACTGAAAGTAAACATAACTTTTATCTTTACATGAAAAACCCAGACTCCACACCTATAGGTTAGGTTTCTTGGAAACACTGTGTTTAGCCCTGTGACAGGCAACCCTGCATAAGATCCAATCAGTGCATGGATGTGCACATTCATATTCCGTAATGTTCTAAATTTCCCCCTCTGTCTACTGTATTTTCCACCTAGTATCCTGACTATTTAATGAAGGTGTGACATGGACTTTGTGCTGTTGCCAGGGAGTTCCCCAGGCTGGGAGAATGCATCAGCTTGTTTTACAGCATGACTGTGTGATGTAACTGGGATCATTAGCAATAGCTGTGGGCTGTAACTAGTACAGTGCTGCAGTGAGTACTGACGGAGCTCACCGTAGTCCTGGTTTATTCCATGTCTCTTAAACTTACCAAAACTGTTGATTTGTCACACACATTTCCCTTCCCCCTATGTTATGTGAAAATCACATTTTGTTTCATGTCTCTTTTAACCTTGACAGTGACCTTTTCACAAAGTTGGTACTATTTCAGCTTCTGTCTGATTTGTGTTCTTATGTGCAGCACACGTGTGTAGATTGGAGGTGCATTTTGTTTAGTGTTAATGTGGCAAAATATTTCTCTTAACACTAAAGGCTTTATTCTATTATAAAGCCACGTCCGGTTCTTTCAAACCAGGAACTCAGAGGGACGACTCAGACCACTTGGATATATAAAAAATATAACCGTGCTGGTTTATTCAAAGAGTCACAGGCAAGAATTAACATTACACGTCCAGGCATCTTCCACCCCCAAAGCTGCTCGCAGGCAGCCCGGAAGAAGAAAGACCCCGAACCTAATAGCCTATACAATTTAATCACTTCGTTGGGCTAGCCCCATCCTACACAGAAACGTCAACCGAGACGTCTCTCTCTCACCAGCTTTGCAGCTGGCTCTGGCAGTAGTCACAACATGAAGAAAATAATGTGTGTGAATGTTGATTATGTGGTGTGTATCTAAAAACACTGTAACACAACAATTCACATTAAGAAAAATATTATGGTTACTTTTACCGTCATAATAACATTTATCCCTGACTGCAGCCTTTCTCTGCTTTAACTAACCTTGCATTTAACAGCCTGAGGAAGACATCCTGGCTACACTAACATCTTCTAATACAACAGATCTCTAATCAATATCTATCTAACTAAGAAAGTACCTAACAATACGCCTATAAACAGTCTGGATGACCACATTTCATAATGTCCGTCCAGTTATAAAGTACTGACAGTATACATATCATCACTCCTTTATTTGGTTAATTCAGGCTTCTGGGTTGAGGGTAGTTAATCAGGTTTAGAGTGCGTGGTGAGGAAATGAGTCACATCCCTGATGCCACAAAACCTTAAGAAATCTTGTCACTTCTGTCTGCTACTAATTTCAACAGTCTGCTACTAAACAAACTGTTGAAATTAATTCACCAGCTATTAAAATGATCTCCTGTTTTTAAATTCTGCTTTATTTTTAGCCTACACAATCATCCTATTTACTGAACTGTCAGTGAAAAGATTACTTTGCTCTGTAGAAGCAAGGAGAGAAGCATAGGACAGGAATCTTAAATTTTCATATCTGAAAGACAGTAGTGGTCTACAGGTGAAAAGCTTTGTCTATGAAAAATTGGCATTCCATTTTCAAATTAACTTTATTAGATTATCATCTTAGTGTAAATTTTGCAGTCTGAATCTTTAAAAATCTATAAATAGCAAAAGAATGTTAATGTTCAGGTTCTGGTGAAAGTACTATATAGTAATAATGTTTTAGACTGTGTTTGAAATGGATATACAGTATTGTTCAAAATAATAGCAGTACAATGTGACTAACCAGAATAATCCAGGTTTTTAGTATATTTTTTATTGCTACATGGCAAACAAGTTACCAGTAGGTGCAGTAGATTCTCAGAAAGCAAACAAGACCCAGCATTCATGATATGCACGCTCTTAAGGCTGTGCAATTGGGCAATTAGTTGAAAGGGGTGTGTTCAAAAAAATAGCAGTGTCTGCCGTTGACTGTACAAACACAAAACTATTTTGTACAAACGTTTTTGTTTCTAGGATTTAGCAATCCTGTGAATCACTAAACTAATATTTAGTTGTATGACCACAGTTTTTTATAACTGCTTCACATCTGTGTGGCATGGAGTCAACCAACTTGTGGCACCTTTCAGCTGTTATTACACTCCATGATTCTTTAACAACATTCCACAATTCATTTACATGTCTTGGTTTTGCTTCAGAAACAGCATTTTTGATATCACCCCACAAGTTCTCGATTGGATTAAGGTCCGGGGATTGGGCTGGCCACTCCATAACATTAATTTTGTTGGTTTGGAACCAAGACTTTGCTCGTTTACTAGTGTGTTTGGGGTCATTGTCTTGTTGAAACAACCATTTCAAGGGCATGTCCTCTTCAGCATAAGGCAACATGACCTCTTCAAGTATTTTGACATATGCAAACTGATCCATGATCCCTGGTATGCGATAAATAGGCCCAACACCATAGTAGGAGAAACATGCCCATATCATGATGCTTGCACCACCATGCTTCACTGTCTTCACTGTGTACTGTGGCTTGAATTCAGAGTTTGGGGGTCATCTCACAAACTGTCTGTGGCCCTTGGACCCAAAAAGAACAATTTTACTCTCATCAGTCCACAAAATGTTCCTCCATTTCTCTTTAGGCCAGTTGATGTGTTCTTTGGCAAATTGTAACCTCTTCTGCACGTGCCTTTTTTTTAACAGAGGGACTTTGCGGGGGATTCTTGAAAATAGATTAGCTTCACACAGACGTCTTCTAACTGTCACAGTACTTACAGGTAACTCCAGACTGTCTTTGATCATCCTGGAGCTGATCATTGGCTGGGCCTTTGCCATTCTGGTTATTCTTCGATCCATTTTGATGGTTGTCTTCCGTTTTCTTCCACGTCTCTCTGGTTTTGCTCTCCATTTTAAGGCATTGGAGATCATTTTAGCTGAACAGCCTATAATTTTTTGCACCTCTTTATAGGTTTTCCCCTCTCCAATCAACTTTTTAATCAAAGTACGCTGTTCTTCTGAACAATGTCTTGAACGACCCATTTTCCTCAGGCTTTCAAATGCATGTTCAACAAGTGCTGGCTTCATCCTTAAATAGGGGCCACCTGATTCACACCTGTTATTTCACAAAATTGATGACCTCACTGATTGAATGCCACACTGCTATTTTTTTAACACACCCCTTTCAACTAATTGCCCAATTGCACAGCCTTAAGAGCGTGCATATCATGAATGCTGGGTCTTGTTTGCTTTCTGAGAATCTACTGCACCTACTGGTAACTTGTTTGCCATGTAGCAATAAAAAATATACTAAAAACCTGGATTATTCTGGTTAGTCACATTGTACTGCTATTATTTTGAACAATGCTGTAAGAATGGAAAACAGAAAAGTAAAGTAGTTATATATATTTTATATGTGAAATAATTTTTTGTGCTACCTTAAATACAAAATGCCTCATGTTTTTTTTCCTTTAGGAATTAAAGAAGGAATCCAAAGAGGTCAAGGAAACGAAGAATGACCCAAAAGAGGAGTCCACTCAGCCTCAGAGGAGAGAAAAGAACGCAGGGAACGTGGCCAACCTGGTCCAAAGGATGAGCACTATCGGCATCCCGACTGGTGGTTTCCAGCCTCAGCCGCCAGCAGCTTCAAAGAGTAAGCCTTGTGTGCGCATTTCTGACAGGAACATTATGGCTTCAGAATGCCTGAACTAGCTTTATATTGGTGCTCCAAGCCCATTTTTGTATTCCTGTATTTATATTGTCATTACTAGCAATCAGTGTCAGGGTGGAGCTGGGAAACTTTGCTTTCACACATTTTAAATGTCAGTATAACTAATCTCATACAAAATTTTGTATATGCTAAATAAGCACTAATATTGTCAAAATTGACAACCAAGTAAAAACCTTAATAGGCAGCCATTATGCATTTATTTTTAGTTTTCACCATGCTAGTAGTGATGCAGGTCATTTTGTCATCATGATGTCATAATTTCTGCTGAGTGATGATCATTTGCTCTCATACTGACATTGTTTGGCAGTGTGAAGTCTAAAAGTATAACTGACCAGGCTTGTAGCCATTTGATAATCATCCATTATTGAATGATTGAAAAGATGACTGCTGATGTTTCTGCCAATGTAAGAAGATTTGTTAATATTAGGGATGTCCTGACCCAGTATTTTTGGGGGGCGGGGTGGGGGTCCACTATCATTTGATTCCTTTAATAATAAAGTATCCGATTCCGATCTGATACTTCATCAAATATGTCTTATTTAAATTGAAATGAATGTGGCACAAAATATTATTCAAGAGTTTCTTGATCCAAATCCTGGATCAGGTCATGGTTCCAAAATATTAAGTTTATTAGTTTAAATCATTGATAAGAATAAAAGAATAACTGGGACCTGGACAGCACACTCTCAGAATTACCGGTTAATTACAGGGTAGATACTAACCACTACTTCATATCTGTATATGAACACAGTTTGTGTAACCAGTCCAGTTTAAATATCCTTGTTGCATTAACAAAATGTGGCGACTGTTGTAGCATAAAACTTACCGTGTCTACACCAAAAGCATAGGGTGTGCAGGTGCCACTTGTAAGATCTCGCATGCACATCATGGGAGGCTCGCATAGGAAGTGCTTGGTGTACAGAATACACAGAGGAGCCTTTAGAAACACTTTGGAAAGGGGAAAACTGTGCTCTAGAACTCCAACAAATAGTAGACAGTGAGGACATTACAGGCTACACTTGCATGTATATCAACCAGTCAGTATATCAACCGATGGTAAAATCCTTTAAAATACTGGTAAAATAAAAAACTGCAAACACTTTAAAAAGAGCCACCATGTTCAGTAGGACTGATGTAACAGATGAGATATCATGTGTTTTACTTAATGTATTTCTCTGTTTTGGTGACATTCTGGTTGGAACTAATGAGCTTTCATTGTATTGGTGGAGTTTGTAGAACGTTTTTATGTAGTTCAGAAAAAAAATAGACTTGAAACTGTAAATAGGCTTCAGGTCATGGCTATGCTCATAAAGTGTAAGTGACATGCTAGCCAACAGGTGGGGCAGTATACACAGCTGGAATATAGCAACTTATTGGTTATGTGACACGCATGTCTCAAAAACGTGACCGCTCAAATACAGTTCTACATATGGATCTGAATTGGATCGCTTCTGTTCTGGCTGATGCCATACTTTGAAAAATGCCATGATTGGCACTGATATGTATTGATCGGGACCTTTCTAGTTAATACTGTATGCTGGATGATATTGACCTCTTCCAATGATGTTATTATTTGCAAGCATTGGCTTGTTTTCAACATAACTCAGAAATGCATGGATTTGGATAACATATTTTGGAAAGGCAGGGAATGGCCCACAGAACAGTCCATTAGATTTTGGTCCAGATCCAGGACTTTTTTACAGGAGTCTTCGTCATTGTGAGACAGGGCCAATTTCAGTATTTTTGCTTCTAATTCCATACACAATGCCTAGAATGGCTGGACAAAAACTGTAGATGACATCCACATAAGATGTGCTATAAAGCACACCAAAGTCTGTCTGTCACTTTTTGGCTGTTCCTATTAGGGGTTACCACAATGAATCATCACACTGTCGATTCGCATGTTGAAATTTGGCACGTGTTTTATGCCGGATGCCCTTCCTGGCGCAACCCTGAATCGAACCCGGGCCGCAGTGGCAAGAACGCTGAATCCTTGGCACTAGTTCATCGGGGACCCTATCAAAGTAACTTATATATAACTTAGAATTTGGCTGCAGAGTGGAGGTGTGAAGTTGTTGAGAATCACTGAAATCTGTGTACAATAATTTGTTTACACATGGGCACACAAAACATCATATAAAAGCAGCTTATGATCCATGATAAATACAGCAGCATCTTACAGGCATTTCTGAGAGCAGGTAAAATCAGTCTCCACAGTGCTGTAGTGTGCAAGATAGGCTTTGATCCACCACAGGGGTGTGTGATATCGTAGCTATTTGATGCTTTTTTGGGAAATAAGATGAAAATATGTTTTAATAAATGAACTTAAAAAATGTTTCGCCCAGTCGCCCCTTCCTCTACCCATCAAACTGTTATTTAACTTTCCAGCTTTCACACGCTAGTTGACTAGTTATATAGCTATAGGAGCAGCGGTACCTGCAGCCTTAATCCTGTAAGCACTGTGTGTACATTTTGAAAAATGATCTTGCTCATGTATTAGGCCACTGCGTTTGACATTCATTGCATGATCACCATATAGTATGAAGTTTCTAATGTATGGCCTGAGGAGTTACAGAAGTCATAAGTTTACAAACACATTGACCAAACACATTTAAACTCAGTTTTTCACAACTCTTGACATTTAATCCATTCCTCCTGACAGAACTGGTGGAACTGAGTCAGGTTTGTAGGGCTCCTTGCTCACTAGGGCTGGGCGATTCTTTCGATTTTTTCGATTAATTCGAATTTACGTTTTAAGGCGATTTTTTTTTCTTAAATCGAGGTATCACGATTTTTAATTATAATAAAAAATAGATACATTGTCATTGCACCAATGGCAGAATAATTAAAAGGCAATATTGTCTGACCACATGATGGCGCGCCTAATTAACCACTTACGTGTGAGAGCACTCTATGAAGGAACGTAATAGGCTATAGAAAAAACATCATGGAGACGGGTGGCTCTTCACATCAAGATGACCTTGTGCCAAAAAAAGGTAGTAACGTTTCCTCTGTGGTTTGGAAATGGTTCGGCTTTGAGAGGTCAGACGT